ATTCGTGCGGAAAACATCCCATTTTGCTGTTGAAAACAAGCCTATAAAAAAGCAATAATTTCTGAATAGAGGTCCCTTTGACAAGAGGTAATTACGTTTTAGTCCAATCACCATGTTTATTTACATTATTTTTTTGTAACCGAATGGGAATGCATAAATTTGCGTTAAAAGGGTATAATATTAACCATTTCACATCAAGTATTAGAAATTTTAACTGCTCTGACTGGTATTTTTTAAAAAATGAAAAAAAATATTATGTCGTATGTTTTCAAACGAAATTCCACCTGGTGGCAAACAACTTCTCGTGTTACATGATCATCTTTCGGACTATTAAGAGTCGTAGTCGGCAGGATTTGAACCTGCGCGGGAATATCCCAACAGATTTCAAGTCTGTCGCCTTAACCACTCGGCCACGACTACATAATGGCTTAGGAGTCGCTTATTTTCCTTTACCACGGATAGCTTGGAACTTACCTGTTTATTTTACCACAGATTTTACGTCGTGGGCACATTAATAGGTTCTCTGGAATTGGTATGCCTTCCAAACTGCTTTTCAATTGCCAGCAGAATTTTGGAATTATAATAAGACTGAGAAAAAAGAAAGGGTCTCGGGGAACTCGCTGTGACGGTTGGCGGAAGCTTTTATCATAGGAATTAATTATTGATAGAAATCAGGCAGTTCACAGGGATTAGGGTTTGCCTACTTGCCTTATTAGCTCAGTGGTTAGAGCACTCGTCTCGTAAACCAGGTGTCCGGAGTTCAATTCTCTGATAAGGCTTAATTTTTTTAACTGTGTATGGTAAGGGTGAGTAAAAGACTTCAATATTTGTGATCATTACGAATTCAATAATCGCTGTGAAAAAATTTACCTGCAAAATACGTTTTTTGAAACATTTTTCTACATTTCTATTTGCGCATGCGTTTTTTTCTGGGTGCCTCCTTAGCTCTGTGGTTAGAGCACTGGGCTAGTAAACCAGGGGTCCAGAGTTCGAATCTCTGACGAGGCTTTCCACATTTTCCACTTAAACTTAATAAGTATCTACGAACATGAACGAGTTTTTTGACCGGCTTCTTGTGTATATATATAGCAATACTGAACTATTTTTATGACTTTTTCTTTATAAATCAATATATATGATAAGTCATTGTGTTTTATTGTGTTCTATTGTTATCATCAACCAATAGCAAAGCTTTTTCATATAGGTAACGTACCTACACCTTAAACTTTGGGATTGTAAATAATGAAACTTCTTGTGTAGCCTCATAGTTCAGCTACGCGGTAAAAATGTTTAGAACTGAATGAAACCAATTCCGTCGTTCAAGACTTTAGGGTTAAAACCTAGTTTCTTATCGTGTTTACGAATAATCGTCTATTTTCTACCATTGCGTTTGTCTGGTCTCAGTACTAACAGTGATTTAAGATTCCTACAAGTCTTTTTTCACTTAGAGTAACTTGGCTTGTAAAAAATGTGACATGAAAAGATTTTTATATTTTTCCATGCATGCTATACATCGTCTTTATTGTGAGCGATGAAAAAGAACACTTCCCCTGCTCTGTACTTGGCTTGCTGGTCTAGTGGTATGATTCTCGCTTAGGGTGCGAGAGGTCACGGGTTCGATTCCCGTGCAAGCCCTGTTCGCCCCTCTCGCTTGAAAGAGAACGGTCTGTGACAACAAATCGCTGATGGTCTAATTATGTTGTATTTTCTTGAGAAAAGAATGTGGTACGTGTTCTCGTTTAAACATTAGCGAGTTTGAGCAAGGAAACGAAGTACGAAGACGAAGACGTTTTTCGGCCGAGGTAGACTGGGAATAATAGTCTTCGTCTTAAGTCTTCGTGCAGCGGGATATTTGAATTGAGCAGTTCTGTCACAGTTGTAGGACTACGAACACGATACATATTTTGTAATCATAAACAGAGCTGAATACAAGATGGCTATTTTAGCAATGTTTTCAGAAGATGCTTTGGAAGTGGAAGATGTTATGCTTCTTTACGGTTTAAACATCTCAAACAACATTTATATTCCATACAAGAACTATTCGAGATGTTACTTGAATATATCTTACCTTGAAAACTTCGTTCTGACTGTAAGTGGAAGTTTCGGTAGACGATTCTTGCCTTACAGGTCATAGTAAAAATACGCGCTTTGTAAGTTTCAGATGGTATGTAATGCTCTCTGTTATACAAATACGGTTTAAATTCTGTGACTTCGTTATAATCGTTGTTCATTGAATGTGTTCGAGCTTCACGTTGAAATCGATCGACTAAGATGGCCGCAGCACTTCTGTGTGATAATATTCGGAAAGAAATGAACAATGGGAATATGATTGGGGCTGTGTATCTTGACCTATCGAAAGCATTCGATACTATAGGACATGGATTATTACAAAATAAACTGAATATGTACGGAGTCAAGGGGAAAGAATAAAGTTGGTTCACAGATTATCTGTTCAATAGGACTCAGACAGTTGAAATCGAGAGCGTTAGATCGAGTCCTGAGCCTATTTGTTGTGGGGTCGCGCAGGGCTCAATCTTGGGTCCGCTCTTATTTATTGTTTTCTTTAATGACCTCGTTGAAAACATAAATTGCCATGTTATAAAGTATGCTGATGATACCGTCATATACTACGCAAATAAAAATATTGATGTTACTGAAAAAGTTTTGAAATTGGAAATGGAAAGCATAGGTAATTATTGCAGAGAAAATGAACTTCTGCTCAACCTCAAGAAAGGTAAGACGGAGGCAATGCTGTTTGGTACTACAAAGCGCGTAAAGCAACACGGTAGAGAGCTCAAGATCAATTATAATGGTATCTCAATCTCTTTTGTAACAGAGTACGTCTATCTTGGCAATGTCATTGATAGCGCTCTTACGTTACCTTCTAATTTTACCCGAGCTTATAAACGCGCGAGCAACCGTCTAAGATTGCTGAAAAGCTTGAGAGAATACCTGGATATCAACGCAGCTGCACAGATATTTAACATGATGATACTTTCAATTCTGACCTATGCTGGTCCAGTTAAGCTGACGTATACTCGAACTCAAAAAGAGCGTTTGAATTCTTTGCTAAATAGAGCCAAAATCAAAACAGGAAATGATGCACTTGCGGATATCCATGAAGTCATCCAAAGACAGAACTGTATGTTAGTAAGAAAATGTATCGAACAGCATACAAACAGCATGATTTTTAATAATTATTTTGAAACAATTAGTCATTCAAAGGAAACGAGGAATAATAATCATTCATTGCGACTACCTCCAGTAAAGTTAGAGACAGCTAAACAGGGGTTACACTTTGGTGGAGCTAAACTTTATAATAGCCTTCCATTAAAATTAAGAACGGAACCGGAACTTAACAAGTTTAAATCCTTGCTCCCTGACTGTAAGTTTTTATAGACTTTTTTATAGATTCTTAGATTATAGTTTGATTTTAACGAAATAAGTCTTATTTAGGTTTATAGTTATCAGTACAAAATTAATTATCTTTTTAACAGGACAAACAAGGATAGCAGTTTTATTCCTGTGAAACTTAATTGTATACATAGTTGTAAATATACTGATGTTTTTATCCTGTATAAAGATTTTTAATAATAAATAATAATAATAATAATAATAATGATAATAATAATAATAATAATAATAATAATAATAATAATAATAATAATAATAATAATAATAATAATAATAATAATAATAATAATAAAAATAATAAAAATAATAATAATAATAATAATAATAATAATAATAATAATAATAATAATAATAATAATAATAATAATAATAATAGTAATAATAATAATAATAATAATAGTAATAATAGTAATAATAATAATAATAATAATAATAATAATAATAATAATAATAATAATAATAATAATAATAATAAAAATAATAATAATAATAATAATAATAATAATAATAATAATAAAAATATTTATTCAGGAAACTTTTTCATACAAGATGATTTTCAAAAAGGACCTGAGTTAATTATTAAATCGCATGCAAACCTAGGTTATATTTAAAATTATGACAATAGAATTTATGCTAAATACTACAAACTATTCAGCAATTTTTTTTTAAAAAGTTTGATATTTAACGAAGTTCTGATATCTATTTCGAGACTGTTCCAATCGTTCACAGCTTGATAGCACATTCTCTGCTTGTCCAATTACGTGTAACATGGGGTAGTCTGAGTTTATCCTTATTTCTCGTGTTGTAACCATGCACATCTCCTGCTGTTAATAAATCCATAGAATGATAGATGTAACCATTTACGCACTTATACACAAATAGACATTTTTGGTAAAATCTTCTTTGCTCTAGTGTAATCCAATTTAACTTGCCAAGTGCTTCTGAGGCAAATGAATATAGTGGTTTATCCAAAATGATTTTAGCAGCCTTATTTTGCAGTGTCTGCAGCTTATTCATAAGCGTAATATTATTTTTATCTCTCCATACAACATCTGCATAATCAAACAGAGGGAGAACTAAGCCATTATAAAATAGAACTCGTGCTTTAAAAGGTAAAAGATACTTAATTCTTCTTAAAAGCCCAAGCCTTTGATTAATCTTGGACGTTAAGTAATCTATATGCTTTGAACATGTAAGATCATTGCTTAAAAACACCCCTAAATACTTAAAACTATTTACATTACTAATTCCATAATTAGAAATAGATACTGACAGCGTCGGAATGTTTCCTGCAAGCTTGCGACTGCTACCAATAAGCATACATTCGGTTTTTTCAAGGTTTAAAGTCAACTTATTATCATTCAACCATTTGGCAATAATTAAAAGATCTTCATTCAGTTCCTTTTCCAGCTCCTGAAGGTTTGAATTATGACAGTAAATTACCGCGTCATCAGCATAAAGCAGCATTTTGGAGTTAATAACCGTGGTTGGCAAATAATTGATATAAATAGTAAATAACAATGGACCCAAAATACTGCCCTGGGGGACGCCAGGGCAGTATTGTGTTAATATTGTGTAAATTAAGTATCTTTTACCTTTTAAAACACGAGTTCTATTTTGTTGCTCATTGTGTTGTTCTCCTCCACGGAAATCTTTAGTAAAAGGCGAAAGATTTTTTCGTGTAAATGAAGGAGAACCAAGGCTTGGAAACTTCGGTGCTTGTCAGTGCTGTATTAACGAAGTAGTTTCGCTTTTGGAACACGGTTGTCACGGAAGTTCGCGGGAATGTTGTCAAATGTGACGAATAGAATTGTTTTTATAATTAGCAGTTGCCCAATCAATTGTGGGATGTCGTTTGGTATTTTGGCGTGATCAATAGCCTTCTGCTAGGAAAATGAGCGTTGGGAATCCGGATTACGCCAGCTGTTGATCTCGTACACTTTTGATAAACACCCGCCAGTAAAATCCAGCGGGCGACAAAAAATACCCTTAGGCCCATTGTGTTGTTCTCCTCCACGGAAATCTTTAGTAAAAGGCGAAAGATTTTTTCGTGTAAATGAAGGAGAACCAAGGCTTGGAAACTTCGGTGCTTGTGAGTGCTGTATAAACGAAATAGTTTCGCTTTTGGAACACGGTAGTCACGGAAGTGCGCGCGCAATGTTATCAAATGTGACGAATAGAATTGTTTTTATAATTAGCAGTTGCTCAATCAATTGTGGGATGTCGTTTGGTATTTTGGCGTGATCAATAGCCTTCTGCTAGGAAAAGAGCATTGGGAATCCGGATTACGCCAGCTGTTGATCTCGTACACTTTTGATAAACACCCGCCAGTAAAATCCAGCGGGAGACAAAAAATACCCTTAGGCCCATTGTGTTGTTCTCCTCCACGGAAATCTTTAGTAAAAGGCGAAAGATTTTTTCGTGTAAATGAAGGAGAACCAAGGCTTGGAAACTTCGGTGCTTGTCAGTGCTGTATAAACGAAATAGTTTCGCTTTTGGAACACGGTAGTCACGGAAGTGCGCGCGCAATGTTATCAAATGTGACGAATAGAATTGTTTTTATAATTAGCAGTTGCTCAATCAATTGTGGGATGTCGTTTGATATTTTGGCCTGATCAATAGCCTTCTTCTAGGAAAAGCAGCATTGGGAATCCGGATTACGCCAGCAGTTGATCTCGTACACTTTTGATAAACACCCGCCCGTAAAATCCGGCGGGCGACAAAAAATACCCTTAGGCCCATTGTGTTGTTCTCTTCCACGGAAATCTTTAGTAAAAGGCGAAAGATTTTTTCGTGTAAATGAAGAAGAACCAAGGCTTGGAAACTTCGGTGCTTGTCACTGCTGTATAAACGAAATAGTTTCGCTTTTGGAACACGGTAGGCACGGAAGTGCGCGCGCAATGTTATCAAATGTCACGAATATAATTGTTTTTATAATTAGCAGTTGCTCAATCAATTGTGGGATGTCGTTTGATATTTTTGCGTCATCAATAGCCTTCTGCTAGGAAAAGCAGCATTGGGAATCCGGATTACGCCAGCTGTTGATCTCGTACAATTTTGATAAACACCCGCCAGTAAAATCCGGCGAGCGACAAAAAATACCCTTAGGCCCATTGTGTTGTTCTTCTCCACGGAAATCTTTAGTAAAAGGCGAAAGATTTTTTCGTGTAAATTAAGAAGAACCAAGGCTTGGAAACTTCGGTGCTTGTCAATGCTGTATTAACGAAATAGTTTCGCTTTTGGAACACGGTAGTCACAGAAGTGCGCACGCAATGTTATCAAATGTGACGAATATAATTGTTTTTATAATTAGCAATTGCTCAATCAATTGTGGTATTTTTTGATATTTTGGAGTTGTCAATAGCCTTCTGCCAGGAAAAGGAGCATTGGGAATCCGGATTACGCCAGCTGTTGATCTCGTACACTTTTGATAAACACCCGCCAGGAAAATCCGGCGGGCGACAAAAAAACCCTTAGGCCCATTGTGTTGTTCTCCTCCACGGAAATCTTTAGTAAAAGGCGAAAGATTTTTTCGTGTAAATGAAGAAGAACCAAGGCTTGAAAACTTCGATGCTTGTCAGTGCTGTATAAACGAAATAGTTTCGCTTTTGGAACACGTTAGGCACGGAAGTGCGCGCGCAATGTTATCAAATGTGACGAATATAATTGTTTTTATAATTAGGAGTTGCTCAATCAATTGTGGGATGTCGTTTGATATTTTGGCGTGATCAATAGCCTTCTGCTAGGAAAAAGAGCATTGGGAATCCCGTTTACGCCAGCTGTTGATCTCGTACACTTTTGATAAACACCCGCCAGGAAAATCCGGCGGGCGACAAAAAATACCCTTAGGCCCATTGTGTTGTTCTCCTCCACGGAAATCTTTAGTAAAAGGCGAAAGATTTTTTCGTGTAAATGAAGGAGAACCAAGGCTTGGAAACTTCGGTGCTTGTTAGTGCTGTATAAACGAAATAGTTTCGCTTTTGGAACGCGGTAGTCACGGAAGTGCGCGCGCAATGTTATCAATTTTGACGAATTAATTGTTTTTATAATTAGCAGTTGCTCAATCAATTGTGGGATGTCGTTTGATATTTTGGCGTGATCAATAGCCTTCTGCTAGGAAAAGGAGCATTAGGAATCCGGATTACGCCAGCTGTTGATCTCGTACACTTTTGATAAAACCCGCTAGGAAAATCCGGCGGGCGACAAAAAATACCTTAGGCCCATTGTGTTGTTCTCCTCCACGGAAATCTTTAGTAAAAGGCGAAAGATTTTTTCGTGTAAATGAAGGAGAACCAAGGCTTGGAAACTTCGGTGCTTGTCAGTGCTGTATAAACGAAATAGTTTCGCTTTTGGAACACGGTAGTCACGGAAGTGCGCGCGCAATGTTATCAAATGTGACGAATATAATTGTTTTTATAATTAGCAGTTGCTCAATCAATTGTGGGATGTCGTTTGATATTTTGGCGTGATCAATAGCCTTCTGCTAGGAAAAGGAGCATTGGGAATCCGGATTACGCCAGCTGTTGATCTCGTACACTTTTGATAAACACCCGCCAGGAAAATCCGGCGGGCGACAAAAAATACCCTAGGCCCATTGTGTTGTTCTCCTCCACGGAAATCTTTAGTAAAAGGCGAAAGATTTTTTCGTGTAAATGAAGGAGAACCAAGGCTTGGAAACTTCGGTGCTTGTCAGTGCTGTATAAACGAAATAGTTTCGCTTTTGGAACACGGTAGTCACGGAAGTGCGCGCGCAATGTTATCAAATGTGACGAATATAATTGTTTTTATAATTAGCAGTTGCTCAATCAATTGTGGGATGTCGTTTGATATTTTGGCGTGATCAATAGCCTTCTGCTAGGAAAAGGAGCATTGGGAATCCGGATTACGCCAGCTGTTGATCTCGTACACTTTTGATAAACACCCGCCAGGAAAATCCGGCGGGCGACAAAAAATACCCTTAGGCCCATTGTGTTGTTCTCCTCCACGGAAATCTTTAGTAAAAGGCGAAAGATTTTTTCGTGTAAATGAAGGAGAACCAAGGCTTGGAAACTTCTGCTTGTCAGTGCTGTATAAACGAAATAGTTTCGCTTTTGGAAACGGTAGTCACGGAAGTGCGCGCGCAATGTTATCAAATGTGACGAATATAATTGTTTTTATAATTAGCAGTTGCTCAATCAATTGTGGGATGTCGTTTGATATTTGGCGTGATCAATAGCCTTCTGCTAGGAAAAGGAGCATTGGGAATCCGGATTACGCCAGCTGTTGATCTCGTACACTTTTGATAAACACCCGCCAGGAAAATCCGGCGGGCGACAAAAAATACCCTTAGGCCCATTGTGTTGTTCTCCTCCACGGAAATCTTTAGTAAAAGGCGAAAGATTTTTTCGTGTAAATGAAGGAGAACCAAGGCTTGCAAACTTCGGTGCTTGTCAGTGCTGTATAAACGAAATAGTTTCGCTTTTGGAACACGGTAGTCACGGAAGTGCGCGCGCAATGTTATCAAATGTGACGAATATAATTGTTTTTATAATTAGCAGTTGCTCAATCAATTGTGGGATGTCGTTTGATATTTTGGCGTGATCAATAGCCTTCTGCTAGGAAAAGGAGCATTGGGAATCCGGATTACGCCAGCTGTTGATCTCGTACACTTTTGATAAAACCCGCCAGGAAAATCCGGCGGGCGACAAAAAATACCTCTAGGCCCATTGTGTTGTTCTCCTCCACGGAAATCTTTAGTAAAAGGCGAAAGATTTTTTCGTGTAAATGAAGGAGAACCAAGGCTTGGAAATTTCGGTGCTTGTCAGTGCTGTATAAACGAAATAGTTTCGCTTTTGTGAACAAGGTAGTCATGGAAGTGCGCGCGCAATGTTATCAAATGTGACGAATATAATTGTTTTTATAAGCACTTGCTCAATCAATTTTGGGATGTCGTTTGATATTTTAGCGTGATCAATAGCCTTCTGCTAGGAAAAGGAGCATTGGGAATCCGGATAACGCCAGCTGTTGATCTCGTACACTTTTGAAAAACACCCTCCAGGAAAATCCGGCGGGCGACAAAAAATACCTCTAGGCCCATTGTGTTGTTCTCCTCCACGGAAATCTTTAGTAAAAGGCGAAAGATTTTTTCGTTTAAATGAAGGAGAACCAAGGCTTGGAAATTCGCTTGTCAGTGCTGTATAAACGAAATAGTTTCGCTTTTGGAACACGGTAGTCACGGAAGTGCGCGCACAATGTTATCAATTGTAACGAATATAATTGTTTTTATAATTAGCGGTTGCTCAATCAATTGTGGGATGTCGTTTGATATTTTTGCGTGATCAATAGCCTTCTGCTAGGAAAAATGGAGCATTAGGAATCCGGATTACGCCAGCTGTTGATCTCGTACACTTTTGATAAACACCCTCCAGGAAATCCGGCGGGCGACAAAAAATACTAGGCCCATTGTGTTGTTCTCCTCCACGGAAATCTTTAGTAAAAGGCGAAAGATTTTTTCGTGTAAATGAAGGAGAACCAAGGCTTGGAAACTTCGGTGCTTGTTAGTGCTGTATAAACGAAATAGTTTCGCTTTTGGAACACGGTAGTCACGGAAGTGCGCACGTAATGTTATCAAATGTGACGAATATAATTGTTTTTATAATTAGCAGTTGCTCAATCAATTGTGGGATGTCGTTTGATAATTTAGCGTGATCAATAGCCTTTTGCTAT